CAAGGGTCTTGAACGTTCCGTAAATACACAGGGTCGCAGGCGTCCAAGGTGCCCGGGCTCATTTAGATTAGCAGGTCAAAGGAGGCCTCACTGGGAAGGAGCACCCAGCTGGAATTGTAAAGGATGAATAGGAGCTTGTTAGTTTGTCCTCGACTGACTCAAAACTAATAGTCATAGCTGCTTCCAGCCGGAGGCAGAGGGTCCCAGATAGAGCGCTGAGCCTGCTCCGGAGCCATGAAATCTGTGAGGTGCATAATGCCTCTGCGCACCTGTGGGCCAGGACAGCCATGGCTGGACCCACCTCCCACGGTGCTGAGCACACACAAGGCATGCTAGGCCTCTGTGAGCACCCGCTCCAGCTGGCCATGGGTAGGGCCGGCTATCGCGATGATTCAGGTAGTTGTTTTTCCTGGATTGCACCCAGCACTCAGGATGGCGGGTCTTTCTCCCTGTGCGAGTGATCTTCCTTCCCTCATCAAGCTTCTAAGTGAGGTTAAAAAAAAGAAAACCCAGCTCCTACAAGAGGTTTTCTTTTCCTTCTTTCTGAAACAATACAGTCTCCAGCCCTAGCTCTACCTGTAGTCTGTGGCTTCCACAAAAAGCCTTTTGTTGATATGTGGGGCACTTGCGGCCTGGCTTGCTGCCAGGCTGCCTTTTTATTTATCAAACCCTCCCAGCTCTCAGGTGTTAGACTCTTATTACTGGAAAGAAAAAAAAATTTTTTTTTTAGGCCAGAAGTTACTGTGGGAGAAGCCGAGGGCTCCTTGTGTGTCACTGAGATGACTAGCCACACCTGGGAAGAGCCTTAACACACCAGACCCCGGGATCTGTGTAGTGCAGCACCTTGGGACAGCTGCGGGGTGTGTGTGTGTGTGTGTGTGTGTGTGTGTGTGTGCGTCCCACCTGTGCCTCTGAGTCAGGCCATGTTGAGAGTTATCCCTAGGTACCTTTCACAAACTTCTGATCCTAAAATATTGTAAATACCTATATAAGAAACATCCAAAGGATTCTACCTGCCCAGTGCAATGCCCACAGTCTCTAAAGGAGGCCGGAACCAGGGTAAGACCTTTCTTCCCTTCCTTCGTCCCGCTTCCCTTCCTTCCCTCCACCATGTTTCCCTGGTTCGCTTCACTAGGTTATCATTTTCAGAGCATGGTAAACTGATTCGACTCCATCTCGGAGTCAACGGTGGCCACCAGGAAGTGGAGGGGCTGGACAGAGAATTTGGAGATGGGGCTACAACCAACAGGGAAGGACCTGGGAGAAAGGGGGGCAGGTAGAACCCGAGCCCCCCCCCCCCATGGGCTGGCTATAAGATCACACGACCCTCTGGGGAAACTAGGCACCTTTCGTAAATTCTAGAAATGTAGGTAACACAAAGGCAGAAACAGAGGGTAACTGTGCAGACATGCTGGTCTCTGCAACCATCCAAAGCACACCTCTCGAGCCCAGGAGGAACTGGGAGGGATGCTGTAGGAAGTAGCTCAAGCCACAGCAACCAGACCCTTAGAACCACCAAGATAGATCTCATTTTCATCTCTGTGGGCATCCTCAACTCTCCTGAGTAACCACAGGGGTTAAAAAGAAATTCATTTGTTGACATCCTCCACCTGCCTCATACTTAGCCTTTCTGGTAGGTCTCGTTGCTTCTGTAACATGGATGAGGACGGAGAGGTACAGGGAACATGCTACTTGCCCAAGTCCATGCAATTAGTAAGGTAACAAAGGCAACAGTAAAATCCAGCCGGTCTGATCCCTTTTTTATATGCTGGGAAGAAACCATTCGTTCCTTGGGGTCCAGTAGGCAGGGGAGAATTGAACGAGCAATACCACATGCCAGGAAACCACTGTTTTTCCTTCAGACTTTTCAACAAATTGGTTTCTTCCAACCTTTAGAGCAGAAGCTGTGGTTGCTATGTGTGTGCTGGAAGTGGCGGGGGGGAGTCTCTCCCCTGAATAAGTGCAGAAAGGTTGACCGCAGTAAGGCCCCGAGTGCTCCAGGTGAACTCTCTCTTCCTGAAACAAACACATGCATTCCACACACCTGGTGAAGTGACCAGGCACTCAGAGCTGGTATCAGCCATGCGAAATCAGACATCCAGGCTGTCAAGTGACTACAGAAGGTTGCCTTTGTGTAAGGATCAGATGGGGGACTCAGCCTGAACCCTAAATTCTCACATGCCCATCAGTCAACCCCTACCCATGTTTAGGGCTCCTGGGTTGAAGAAGAAAAAAATACCCCAGGAATACTGGCAGCATCCACTGTGAAGCTGGGTGGCTGGGTCAGTTGAGGCAGTTTTGGAGGAGTATCTGGGAGTCTTGAAAACAGTATGGAGCATGGTTCCTGCTACCTATTTTGGATGGCTCACAACCACCTGTAACTGGTGGATCCAAGACCTCCCAGGCCACTATGGGCACATGTACACATAACCTTACACACACACATCTTAAAAACTAAAAAAAAAAAACAAAAAACAAAAAAACAACTGTAAATATGGCTCAGTTTAGAGTACTTGCCTAGTATAAGTAAGGCCCTGAAATTATTATCCAGCATTACAAAATAAATTAAGTTAAAGATTCGATAAATGAAACAGCAGCCCTAACTTCTTGGAAGGCTAAGGCAGGAGGATTACTTGAGCCTATAACCTATAATCTCCAGATCTCCCCATGAGAGGCCATCTCAAAAAATAAAATCAGATCCTACACTAAGCTCAAGAGCCAGTCTGGGCGTCTCCTCTACTGAGACTTCTCACAGTGATCTTCACGGCCCCATACAAGCTGGCGGCCTTTGCCTCCTGGTGTCCCTGGTGTCCCTGAGCCCCCAATGTGCTCAGTTTGTGACCCATGTGTCCTCTCTCTTCTAGGGTCTTCATCCCTGTGTTCACCCACTTCAGCCACCCTGGCCTCCTGCTCTTCTCCAAACACGCCCATGCTCATCTCAGAGCTTTTGCGCTTTTTTTAAAAAATTAAGTTTTAAAAATGTTTATGACTATGGGTATTTTGCATGCGTGTATATCTGTGCACCAGGTGCGTGTCTGATGCTGGCAGAGGCCAGAAGAGGGCATCGGCACCCCTGAAAAATGTTAGACAGCTGTGAGCTGCCATATAGGCCCTAGGAATGGAACCTGGGACCTCCACAAGAGCAGCAAGCGCTCTTAATGGCTGAACCGTCTCTCTGCCCGCCGCCCCCTCCCCCCGTTGTTTTTTTAATGTTTATTTTTATTTTATTTATGTGTATGTGTCTATGTGTGTATCTACCATGTGTGTGCTGGTGCCTGAAGAGGCCAGAAGAAGGTGTCCAATCCCCTGGAACTGGAGTTCCACGTAGTCCTGAACCACCCAATGTGAGTGCTGGGAACTGAACTCCACTTTGGGTCCTTGGGAAGAGTAGCCAGCTCAAAGTTCTTTCTCCAGCCCCTGTCTGCTGTTATCTCTGCCTAAAGTATTCTTTTCCTCCTCTCCCAGATATTACAGAACCTGCCCCCGACAGGCCCTTTGACATGCAACCGAATTCTCCTTCCCTTGATTTAGTGACTCAATCCAGAGGACTGGGATGAAGTGGAGGTAGTGATACCGTCGAACTCTTAGAGGCTACTACATGGAAGGCCCTGCATTGTCCCCTCCTCAGGCTCTTTCCGGCATGGCTCCCGCAGGGAAACCCCCGACTGCCCCACGGTGAGGACATTCTTGCGGTTCTGCCAAAGGGATGGCACTTGGCCCCGGGGACGTGAGCCACCCTGAAGCTGCTGCTCCAGCCCCGGCCACACCTACACATACCTGCCATTCTGGCCCACCATGTGACTGCAGCCCTGGGAGAGACCCTCAAACCAGAACCACCCGGCGAAGCCACTCCCAGAAACTGACCTCCTTCGTGACCCTCAGAAACTGTGGGAGACAGTAACTCTATTGTTTCCAGCTTCTGTGTTTGGGGGTCGCTTGTTATACAATCATAGACAGTGCACGGCTTCCTCATTCCCAACAAGTTTGTGCTACGGCATCACCTGTGCAGACACCTCCGCCATTCACTCGCTCCCTTAAGAACGGCTCTCCTCCAGGCGTGGGGCTCCTTGGCTTTCTAAACCTTTGTCTCCCAATTGAATTCTCAGTAAATAGTTGCTGGGTGAGTAAATGCACCCTCACCTCTGCTTTAGTCCTTCTGTACTCAGGGACTGGGTGGATCTGAAGGACATCCAGGTTTTGTTTTGAATTGCTTTGTTATCTGAAGTCTCATTATGGAGACCAAGTTAACCTGGAACTTGTTATGGAGCCCAGGCCGTCCTTGAACTCATGACCCTCAGCCGCCCAAGGGCTAGTAGGATTATAGCCCTCCGCTACCCGTGCCTTGCTTCATTCAGTTTTAAAATCTCGTGTTGATGCCGTTTTTTCTAAGGGTTCCGTCTGGGTGCACCTTTTCCCACTGCCTGCAGGTTGGGGGGAGGACCAGCTTCTGGATCATGTGGCCTCTCTCCCAAGACCAGGCCTGATCTAAAGACAAGCACCTCGAAGCCATACTTGACCGAGGGCCATCAGTTTCCAAGGCTTTGATTTAGTCAAGCGGGCTCCAAAAGACACAAACAGCGACTGTCCCCAGGGGGAGCTAATCTGATTGTCCTTGGTGCCAGGACATTCAAGTCTGTCATGGGTGGCGAGCCCGAAGTCATGTGGCACCAGAGGGGCAGCTGTATCAACAGGGCCCCTTGCAGGCTCGCACAGGACTCAGCCAGAGGCTGACTTTCAAACAGGCCAGCAGGGGAGAATGAGTGGGCAGTGGGCATGGACCCGTTTTGTGCAGTGAAGAGCAGGCCTGGGGTGAAGGGGGCTACTCCTGCGTGAGGTCCCCGAGTTCTTAGAAAGTTCAGGGCTCACCACTATTGTGCAATAACCACTGGTAGTTCTCTGCCCATTAACCGGACATACCTTGGTGCCCTTCCAGAGGATGACTGGTGTATCTCGACACTTTGACCAAGAGAGCCCCACCCAAGGCATTGGATGACTGCAAAGTCCTTGGGATAGTTCTTTTATTGATCTGTTCAGGTCCCTCCCTGGCATCACAAGACCATGTAATAAAAGCATTCTCCAAGTTCACGGCGTGTGGGTTCTCTGGGTGACAGGCGAGCTCAGGGAAGAACGATGAGGTTTCAGCACATCTGGCTGCTTGCCCCCGAGCAAGCAGATGCAGTGGCCAGTTCACCTCTGGGCTTCAGTTCCTTCACTGAATCAACAGGATTGCTAGATCCCCACCCACTTATGACCCCAACCTTCTCCAGGGAGCTGGAGACACACAGCAGGGAGCCATGGGCTGCAGGTATAAGGCAGGAACTCCGCAGAGGAATCTGGGTGCTGAATGCTGGTATTAACCATTATGTAAGGCAGAGACTCGGTGCTCAGAGCACCCCCGCTGTGACAAGTGGCCCCCCTCCCGTGGCTGTGAACCTCCTCGGTGAACCCCCATTTCACCCTTCCCATTCCACCAGCCCCAAAGCCCAGGTAACTGTCCGCCCCTCCCTCTTAGCTCCCCGCCTCTCCCCTCCTCCCCCCGGACTTCCTTCACCTCTTCTTAGCTAACTCAACTATAGAGTTAGAATGGGTGGGCTTTCAAGGAGACAGGAAGTTAGGGAGGAAAGGCATGAGTGGGAAAGTCCCCAGAGCTCTGGGCGCCTCCGTGTTCGGGTCCAGAGCACGCTTGACTCACTTCTCACAGCGCGGTCTGACTGACCTCTGGTGTGGAAATTAGCACAGTTGGATACTTGTCAAGTGTCACGGGGCAGGTTACAAATAGCACGGGGATTAGCAAAGCCCCATCAGAAACTCGCGTTCAAGGTCAGGGAAAGTTAACAGCTTAATCCCTGGAGCACCAGGAAGGGTGTTTTATGGCAAACGAGGGCTGTGAGCACACATATATGACCAGGACGGGACAGAGGTGGCACACTACAGGTCTTGATGGGGGATCCACTTCAGTCTAGGAGCGAGGCCCTCGGGTTGAAAGCTAGAGTACGAGGTCCCCTGTGTGCTAGCGGGCCCAGGTGTTCCCATATCCTGTTGTAGAAAGGTCCCTGCGGGACCCTAGCTCCAGTGACCTCCCCAGGTCGAGATCTCAGAGCAGTAGGACCGGCCACCTGAATTCTGACCAGCAGTGGCGGCGGACGACGGGGACCCGGCTCAGTCGCGGACTGGGATCCTCGGCTTTCCCTGTTGCTCTGCCGGGGCTCAGCTCCCCGGCAGCCCCGGGAGCTCTGAACCTAGGCTGCAAAGGGACCAGCTGCCCGCCGCGCAGTCCGGGCTGCCAGGGGGACAATCTCAACTCGCTGGTACCCCCAGCTTGGTGGAGCGGGCCAATCTGCCTCCCCACCCCCACCCCCGTCCCTCGGGTGCACCGCCAAGTCTTACCGTCCCAGGGCCGCGAAGCCGCCCTTAGTTCTGCGCTCGGGCGCGGCGCGCCCAGGCCCCAGGAGGGCAGCACCCGGCGGCGGCCAGCTCCCACCGGTCAGCCCTGCCCTGCCCCGCCCGGCCGCCGTGCCCACGGACCCGGCACCGCCTGGCCCTGTGCACACGGAGGCGACCCGCCCTCCGCGCCCGGACGCGCAGAGGGTGTGCGTGGAAGTCAGGCGTGCGGCGGCGGAGAGTCCCAGGACCAGCTCAGGTAAGCGGCACCCCCGGGAACCGCAGCAACTCCCTGCAGAGACATTTGCCTCTCCTGGCCTGGCTTTGCCAACTCTCCGGAACGTGGGAAGCGGAGAGATGCTGTTGATTTGGGACTGGCTTTGGGAAAAACCAAAGGAGTGTTTATGGACGGATTCGGCTTTGTGGGGTTGGCTTTGGAAACAGTTTAAGGTAGAGAGAGGGTTCGGTTTCTTAGGTAATTTTCCATCTATGTGGATGTCGCTGGGTGTCCGTGTTTTGAGTGCACCTAAGCGGGGCGCTGAGGCGATCCCCCCCACCTTAGTTTGGATCAGGGACTAGCCCATGTGCTAGATGTCCTAGGGGAAAGAAACTGCAAATCTAGCTTGGGGCTTCTTCTGTTTATATTGTTGGTGTTTGGGAACTTGCCTTGAGAGTTGAGGGCCGCGACTCACTGCAAAGATGAGGACACCAAGACCCAGTGAGTTCCTAACAGAACTTGAGGCAGTCCTTATCTGGGAAGGCAGCAGTAAGATTATGTGATCCAAGGGAAGGTGTGTTTTGAATGAGTACGATGCTTTAAGTCTTCCATCTTAACAGCATCTTCATGGAATGTGTCTTTTCCAAGTTTGAGAGGAAAGCTTGCCTCATCTGCTTCCTTTTTTTCCCTTCACTTTCTTCTGATTCTGTCACACTTTCCCAGGGAGGGGGCGAAGGGGGGGAAGTACTTCCTATGGTGGCATCAATTGATTACTATCTTTACCCAAACTCATCTTTTTACACTTTTTTACACTGGTGTCCCTGAGCCCCCAAGCCCCCAATGTGCTCAGTTTGTGGTCCATGTGTCCTCTCTCTTCTAGTTTGTCTAGGTCTTGGCCATGAACTCCTTCATGTGAGATCATGAATGTGAACGGCAAATTACGTTTTAAAGGTTTTTTTGTTTTTTTTTACTTATTTATTTTTATTTCATGTGTATTGTGTTTTTGCCTACATGCATGTCTGTATGAGGGTGTCAGATCCCCTGGCACTAGAGTTACAGACAGTTGTGAGCTGCCATGTGGGTACTGGGAATGGAACCTGGGTCCTCTGGAAGAGCAGCCAGTGCTCTTAACCACTGAGCCATCTCCCCAGCCCCACATTTTAAAGTTTTCTCTATTTGGATTGTGTTCGAGAGTGGTACAGTAAGGACCCTTACTCCCATTCACCCAAGTGAAACAAGGTCACTGGTTCAAAACCAATGCTGTGCGCACCAGCATACCCTTTAACCACTGTTTGGCGGAGTCAGTATACAATACTCTTTTGTTTTTGTTTTATTTTGGGACAGGGTCTCTCTATTATGGAGCTCTCTCTGGCTGTCCTGGAACTCACTCTGTAGACCAGGCTGACCTCGAACTCAGAGATCCGCCTACTGCCTCCCAAGTGCTGAGATCAAAGGCGTGCGCCTCATGTCCAGCTAGTATGAGTATAAAATAGTCTGGCAGTACCGGCCTTTTGAGGTTTTGTGCGAGGAGCTTTTCCATTGGACCCACTTCTGTTTTCCCAGCAAGTTTGTGAGCCTTTATTGCCCCGTAACCCTTGCTTTGCGAAGTGTCTAAGCCTCTGTGGAAGCGGGCGGTGCTGTGGAGGAGGTGAGTGTCAGCCACCCGCCTTGGTCTGCTCGCCTACCTGAGGGCACCGTCTACCTCTGCCATGGGGCTGGACTTGACCTGTTGTGCCAGATTTTTCTCAGGCCATGCCAGGGTCCAGACACTGAGCTGCCAGTGAGGGTGGAGTGTCTGGGCAGCCCTAGGGTTGGCATCTTGAGAATCCTAGAATCACATTTTGACAGAGTTAGCTTAAAAATCCACAAACCCACTGTCTTTCTGAACAACCTTTCCGTCCTGTTGAAACTGTGGGCGTCGGGTCATGTGCGGATGCCACCTTAGAATAAAGTGAGAAGTGAAAAGCTGGGGAAATCTTAAACAAGAAGCGGGAAGTTAGTTATTGGACAAACATTTACCCAAATTCTCAGAGTAGTTCTGATACGATACCGGACAGCTGTATGTCTGAAATTATCCCCATGGCTCTTCCCTTACCTGCCACTATTATTATTATTATTATTATTATTATTATTATTATTATTTATTATTATTATTTCATTGGCCTGGAGAAATGAGTTTGTAAGACTCAGAACAGGAAAAGCCACACCCAGTCATCTTATTTATTTTTAAAAAGATTTCCTTATCTCAGAAGCATGGTAGTTGAATTTCCTCTTTTTTGATATATTCATGAAATTACACATTTGGGAGTCTTTGGATGCCAGTTCTCCTGACTCATAGGCCAAGTCATTGTTCTACAGCAGACCAATTGCATAACATTCTACCTCCTAACAGGTCACCCTTCTGTGATTTCTGCAATGGTCAAAAAGAGATCAGAGCCGGTCGTAGATAGCTGTATCCGTTGTAATTTTGCATTTATTGTTGTTTGCAGAGCCTGAAACTCCGGGAGAGAAGGAAACACATTTCCGCTTCACGGCAGGGAGCCACAAGGAAGCCTTTTATTTTCTGGCCATGTCTTCCGTAGGAACGGCTGAGCCAGATGGGGACCAGAGGGACAGGCATGTCAGCAAGCTCATTTTCTTCCTCTTCCTCTTCGGTGCGGTCCTGCTGTGTGTGGGAGTCCTGCTCTCCATCTTTGGCTACCAGGCATGCCAACATAAGGCTCTCTCACACTGCAACATGGTGCTCAAGATTGCTGGCCCATCGTGCGCAGTGATTGGGCTCGGGGCTGTGATTCTGGCCCGCTCCCGGGCGCGCCTGCATCTGCGGGAGGGGCAGCGGCGAGGCCTCCAGGACCCTGACCAATCCTTCATCTGTGGAGAGAGCCGCCAGTTTGCCCAGTGCCTCATCTTTGGATTCTTGTTCCTGACCAGTGGCATGCTCATCAGCATCCTGGGCATTTGGGTACCTGGATGCGGCGCAGACTGGGAACGGGAGCCGCTGAATGAGACGGACACGGGAGAAACAGAGCCCCAGATCTGCGGCTTTCTGTCTCTGCAGATCATGGGGCCCTTGATTGTGCTTGTGGGGTTGTGTTTCTTTGTGGTGGCCCACGTTAAGAAGAAAAACAACTTGAATTCGAGCCGAGATACCTCCGAAATTGAAGGGGGACACGCCCACAGTATGGAGCCGGTCCATATCACTGTAGGTGAGTGTCGGTTGTCTGTGCACTTTGCTTAAGTCTCAGTGGGCATCGCTTTAAGGCCTCCCCAGGCTTCCCTGGGTCTGGTCTAGATTCTTTTTCTCAACTCAGCTCCTCTCTGTCTCCTACACGTGCGCACACCTGAGCACACAGATAACCCACCACCAAACACACACACACACACACACACACACACACACACACACACGTGAAAAGCAGGCTGTAAGATGGTCTGCCCTGTGGGCTTGCTTCACAGGTCCATTACACTACAGTATACAGTTAAAGTGAGCATTAAAGGCGTGTGCTACTACTCCCAACTAAGAATTATTATTATTATTATTATTATTATTATTCTTAGTAGTAGTAGTAGTAGTAATAGTAGTAGTGTGTATGTGTGTGTGGGGGTGTGGGTGTGTTTGTAGGGATATATGTGGAGGTGCCTGAGGAGGTCAGAAGAGGGTGTTGAGTCCCCTGGAGCTGGAGTTACAAGCAGTTGTGAGCTGCCCGCTGCTGGTGCTGAGACCCTGACTTGGAGCCTCTGAGAGAGCAGTACATGCTCTTAACCCAGCTGCGCCATCTCCGCAGTCTCACCAACAATGTCCTCTAAAACTCCAATGAATCCAAAGGGAACCTTTCCAGTTGTCAAGTTTCAGCAAGTCAGGGTCCCACCCGTCCTCTCTTCTCAGGACAGTAGGACTTCATCCATTTTCTGGGCATCTCTGTGACTTCTGGAAAATGGCTGAGGCAGTGGCAGTGGGGGTGGGGTGGGGGCAGAGACTGCCAGCTGGAAGTGTTTCTTCATCAGACAAACAAATGCCCTCAGCTGGTGACCGAGACGAAGGTGCCATCGCCAGGTGTCACCGGCCCGAGGTTTGCTCTGTGTGAGGTGGCACTTTAACACTGGACGCAAGTGGCCACATCCCGTCCTTTTTGTCCTCCAAGACAGGTGCTGTTCTGTACCGCCAGCAGCTGTGGCAACCGAGGCCAGGGAATTCTGAGTGTGCTCAGGGCTACCCTGGCTTGGTCCCGGGCAAATGGTTTTTTAGACATCCGGCCACTAGTGTGAACTGGTCTCTTCCCTACGAGGAAGTGGGGTTCTCTTTCCTACCTCTTCCTGGAACTGTCACCTGGGGGTCCCGGCCTATCAGAGCCCATCCTTCCTCAGTCCTCTGGCAGCAGAGCAGCGACCTGTCTAGAATGTTCTGGACAGAGGTCATTGTGCCATGCACGGGAATCGTAAAGGATTGGAATTGGGAGACAACTTAGTTCTGGCCCCTTGTTCCTCCTCCTCAGAACACAGGGGTGTGTTCTAGAGTGAACAGGGATACTAAACCAAACTCTTAAAAGTTTGACTGTACCCGTGCGGCGGGGGCGGAGGTGGGGCCCAGCGTGGCCCGTCGCCACGTGTGCAGAGCGCTGTATTGGAGCAACTCTGTGCTTTATCCAGCAGCTGGATTTTGATGAGTTAAGATTATCACTGGAAAGCAAGAAAACCTTTCTCAACAGAAGACATCCCTGGGGAGTTGAGGGAGCTGCTATTGATTCTCACAGATGTGTTAGCTCAGGCGTGCTTGATAGAGGCCGACTCCATATTGCCACCAGAAAACTCAAGGTTCTGAATCATAGGCCAACTTAAAAAAATGTGGTAATCTGTATGTACCCCAAAACTTACTATTTCGGGACCAGGCATAGTGGCACATGTTTTTAATCCCACCACTCAAGAGGCAGAGGTAGACAGATCTCTGTGAGTTTGAGGCCAGCCTGGTCTACACATCAAACTCTAGGCCAGCCAGGGCTACATAGTGAGACCCTGTCTCGAACAAAACAAAATAAAAAGAAAACCAACAACAACAACAACAAAAATCAGAACAACAAAAAAACTTCCTGGCTTAGCCATTTTTAATTTTCATTTACTTTTGTGTTATGTGAGTGTATGTGTGCCTTCATATGTGTGTGTGCACATGTGTGTGCAGATGAAGGCTAGATGTTGATGTTGGGTGTCTCCCTCAGTCACATGGCATCCTATGTTTTGGAGACGGGCATTACAACTGCCACAAAAGGTCTGCTGATTTGGCTAGGCTGGAGAGCCAGTGAACCCCAAGGACCCTCCTGTCTCCTCCTCCTGAGATTACAGGCGCATGCCACTCTGCCCAGGGTCTTACATGGGTGTGGGGATTTGAACACAGGTCCTCCTGCTTGTGAGGCTAGTACTGTACTGACTGAGCTATGCCCCCAGCCCTATTTTAACTGTTTTAAATAGACAGTATATACAGTTTATATATACGCTATATACAATGTAATGTTACATACATATGGATATGGATATCTATGTTTATATAATATACAGTATATACAATGCAATGTTATTAAATATAGTCAAGACATTGCAACACTAGCATCACCATCAGCTTCCGGAATCTTCCGTTCCTCCCAAACAGAACCACCTGTTAGCAGCTCAATCCCCTTCCCTCCCAACTGAAATCCAGTCTACTCCACATGGAAGCGACACAGGCCTACTTTTACATTCCAGAGTGCACAGGGCTGTTTTGACCTTTTATGGTGTGTGTGGTGGTGGGATGGCAAGTTAGAAGCTATTAATTTTGTTTTGTTTTTTTTCTAACTTGTTGCTCTGTGTTTTCCCCAGGTGACTCCGTGATAATATTCCCGCCCCCTCCACCGCCTTACTTTCCCGAGTCTTCCTCGGGCAGCCCCCCACCTCCTGGGGAGAACAGCTTGCACCCCCGGGCTGAAAACCCACCTTCCTACTGCAGTCTTTTTCACCACGGGTAAGAGTCCCCCTTCCCCACCAGTGGGCATGTGCAGCCGGGTAAGAGTCCCCCTTCCCCACCAGTGGGCATGTGCAGCCGGGTAAGAGTCCCCCTTCCCCACCAGTGGGCATGTGCAGCCGTTCCAGAACTAGGCCCGAATGCAGGCCAGTCTAGCTCTAAGGCTGTGTTGACTGTTAGAGTGCCCGAGTATCTGGTGGTATGTCAGAGTTCCGGCCTTGATGCTCACACTCAGCCGGGAAACCTCGGATAGCTCGTAGGCTGAGTGATGAAGGATTGCTAGGAAACCTCTGAGCATCTTTATTGTTGCGATAACTGCACATCTGTCACACAGGCAGCTGCCACGGGGGGGCCGGAGGCCTCTGCTCCATTAGTGTCGCTGCTTCAGATGGCAGAGAGGTTCAAGGCTCCAGGGGACATGCTCAGAAGGATTTCAGTATTCTAATGGAGGAGGCTCGGACGTGGCCCAGCTGGGCCTCTCTCTCTGTGTTCGATAGCCTCGGGCCTCAGAGCTTTGAGGGATGATTGAAGAGATAGATGGTCCATGCCCCACCCTACATCCAAAGCAGGGAGAGTCTCATGGCACAGGCCTGAGGCAGCAAGAACCCAAGACATAGTGAGAGGGTAAGAAGAAGGCTGGTCTTGAGGAAGAGGGGGGCCACTGATCTCCAGAGTGAGTGACGGGGATAGTGGTGAAGGAGGTCACACAGGCTAGGAGAAGATCAGGGCTCCCCGGTAGTCGGGGGAACATGAGAATAGACATTTGAGGTAGACTTTCAGGGCTGGGTGTACCGAGAAGAGGCGGTACTGATATGGACCTCCTAAGACTTGGTAGAAGGTGTCCATGTAGGCGTTCCCGACAGTGCCAGATAGGGGCCAGTGTGTGTGGCCCCCAGATGCCAACTCCTACGGAGTTGGGGACCCAGGTTGTGGTGAGGGAAGGAAATGTTGCTGAAAAATATCCCAGGGCAAAATGGGAAGGTAGATGGCGAAACGTGTGCATTTTTCAGAGAAGGAGAAGTTAAGCCCTAGGGACCTGGTGCCCATATGTGTTCACTCAATGGTTGCCCTGGGAGCTAAAAGAACCTCAGCATTCAAACAGAGTCGGTGGGGTGTGTGCAGCCTGGTGAAGGCGCCAGAGGACACATGCCCTTTGTCAAGGTTTAGAGGAACGTGAAGTTGTCTGAGGATCCTGTTTGCCACAAAAAGAAGGGGAGAGTTTATCTAATGAGAGGGAGAAGGAGATGGCCAGGGGACGGAGCGGGCTCATGAGGGTCACATCGTGAGCTGGGTACCAGGGTGCTGAATGCAGATGTTGCTCAGTGGAGAAAGACCAGGCAATTGGAGATAGACATCTAACAGTGAATGCTGTATTTTTTTCCTCCAATGATAAACTTCTCCAAACCTAAGACCATGTCTAGGGGCTTCACATAAGTCCCCATTGAGATGGCAGTATTGATGTCAGGACCGCCGGGTCTGGTTTTGCTTGCATTATTTTCTGAGTTTCACGGTCACCCTAGCTGGAAGGTTACTGCTACCATCAGAATAATACAGAGAAGGTAACGGAGGCTCCTGAAGGGTGAATCGTGTGTCTAAGATCACCCACTGGGAAAGCAGCAGAGTGGAACTGAAATTCTAGTCCCCTGCCTTTGGGGCCTCTCCAGTGACTGGTGTCCCTTCCTGCCTCCCATCAAGCTGTTGGTTTGGCTTTTAATGTTCTATTTGTGTATATTCACACACCTTATTGTATCCTCCTCAGAAGACAGTGACTGTGCGTGCCAGTGTGCGGGTGCACCAGTTGTTGCTAGGAGATGTCTGAACCTTGAGGCTTAGAGCCTTTTCTCTGACAAAGACAGTGACAGCAGAAGCCAGGCTGTCTTAATGTTACAGCGAACTCTAGGAAAAAGAAGAGATACGGGACTGGCAAGGTGGCTCATTGGGTCAAAGCGTTTGCTGCCAAGCCAACGACCTGAGGTCAATCCTGGGGACCCACATGATGGAAGGGGAGAACCAACTCTTGAAAGTTGTTCTCTGACCGCCACACGTGCACTATGTATGGCACATGTGCCAAACACACACACACACACACACACGCACGCACGCACGCACGCACGCACGCACGCACGCACGCACGCACGCACGCACACACCCCTTTGTAAAAAGAAAAAAAATTAAGGGGGTAAGGAATGAAAGCAGATCTATAAAACACAATAGGCAATCATGGTAGCATAGGCCTTTAATCCCAGCACCTGGGAAGCAGAGGCAGGCAGATCTCTGTGAGTTCAAGGCCAGCCGGGACTACATCACGAGACCCTGTCTCAACAACAGCAACAACGTAGAATTATAGGAGAAACAGCTCCGAGATTGGGCCGAGGCTCCTGGAAGCATGACATCCAGAGAAGCCTCGTACCTGAGGGCTGTCACTATTTTCACTGTGTCCCCTCATAATTTTGTTCTTTCTTTCCAGAAGGACCCCAACTCCTGAGAGCCAGGGCGCAGCCTCTGAGAGAGAACGGGAACTCATATACACCATTTCTGGGCCGGGTTCACCCTCTGAGAGTTCATACCCTGGGCATCTTCCACTGGATCTGCCTCCTAGATATGAAGAGAAAGAAACTGCCCCGGCCACGCCCACGGATGCACCTTCTGAGCCGTCCCCACCATGAATTATGGACTCCACTTTTATATATTTCATGGATTGTTATTTTTATTTAATTTTTTAATAAAACATACAATAACCTTGGCTGTGTTCCCATTTTTCTGCCATGACATCAAAAGAAGTAACATGTTAGAGATCATCCTTGGATGTTGCTCCTCAGAAGCTCTCTGTCTCCCTTGCTTTTTTGAGACAAGTTCTCTCATTGGTCTGGAACTCATCATGTAGGGTCGGCTGGCTGGCCAGTGAGCCTCAGGGAGCTCTTCTCTGTCCGCACCTCCTCGGAGCTGGGGTTCCAAGTATGCCACCATGACCAGCTTTTGCATAGGGGTCATGGGGACTGAATTCAGGTCCCCACGTGTGCAGAACGAACACCTTACTGACTGAACCATTTACCCCACCCCGCCCTTATCTGGTTTCAGGAAGCCGGGCCCTGTCAGTGCCTGGTGCTGCCAGAGGCCAGCCACGGTTTGTTAATGTTTAGTTGTCTCCACTCTGTCTCCGGGGTTATTCACTTCTGGAACCAAGGACTAAGACTGCTGTCCTAAGTTCTTTACCATGTTTCCTCCTCATCCCTTTTCTCTCTCCCCCTTTCCTGTTTCCCGTTCCATCTCCCTTCTTTAGGAGCCTCGAGGCTTCCTAGCACATGGACAGCCTCTGAATAAACTGGGGTGTGATTTCCCTGGAGACTCTGTTCTGATTTATTCTTTGAGATAGGATTTTGCTACGTTGCCCAGGCTAGCTTCGAACTTGTGCTCTTCATGCCTCAGACTTCAGAGTTCTGGGATTATAAACCACCATGCCTGTTCTCTCTCTCTCTCTCTCTCTCTCTCTCTCTCTCTCTCTCTCT